GTCGTGAAGACAACTCCTACCGCACCGTGAAGACAAATCCTACCGCACCCGCGCTAGCATGCCGCACCGCGGCCAACACTCCTGCCTCGCCCGTGATACTCTCCCACACCGTGAAGACATGTTACCTATATATATTCATACGGGATCGATCAGAAAAAAAATCTTTTTCTCTCCGGGAACACAGAAAACCCTACCCCATCTCTTTTTACTCATTTTTCATTCTCTCTTCATATTTTTCAATGTAGAACACGAATTTAAACTCAGGTTTTGCTATTGCTTTTGGATTAATCTTGTTTATCGGATTCAACATTCAATTCCTATTAATAATAAATTTTTCTATACATTTAATCCATGGATATGTTCACTTTGATTATGATTGTTTGTGTTGAAAATTCGATTATGAGTGGCTAAATCCTTATGCTAGGGATAGGGGATTAATGTTTTGATTTCGATTGTGTTTGTGGTGTTCGTTGATTGTTCTTCTTATGCGAGTTGATGTTTATAAGAGTTTTTCAATTATCGTATTTGAATATTGAGGATTATTGAAGGGTGACACTTCAATTTCCAATTGTTTTCAATTGAGTTCGATTTATTCTTGTATGATGTCGGTTGTTCTAAATGATTAGTCGGTTAATCACTCTAGTCTATCTTAATCGACTCTTAGAACCGAAAAGGGAAGAGTCGGTCGAAATAGGCTCGCATAAGCTAGGCTTGTTCGTAACTGTATTTCCTAGGTGTTAAATGACTTGTTAATTTGATGTTCAAGTTTGTTCTCTTGTTACGAAGAGTTAATGAGGATGAGTACTTGAACGAGCAGGTTATTCAAATCACTTAACCGAACAATCACTTGCCTATTAATTGCAATTCGAGCTGAAACGGATATTCCCGACTCCCTAGCTTCTTAAATCTTGCTTGTTCTATGTCGTTTCTTGCTATTTCAATTTACTTGTGTTTGAATTTCCTTAGTTGATAATTAAAATCCAACCCAATCTTTGAATTAGAATATTTAGGAATTTTATTTCTTTTGTTTGTGCTTGAATAAACGTGCAGAGTATTTCGGCTAACCTTCCTCGAGAAACACGACCTGGTGTTCGAATCTTCGATTCTACTCCTGTAAAAAATATTTACAACATCATACATTTGATTTCCACTCATGTTTGAGATTGTTGGAAAAATCATTTATAAAACTTGAGTTTGACCCGGTTTTTACTTAATTTTCGATGGCTAAATATTTAATTCGAATTGAATTAAATTATGTAGAAAAATTCTACGTTCCAAGTAGGTAATCGTGGTATATTTATTTTCACAAAGCGAATTTACGACGAGTAAAAAATAAATGATTAAAGTTAACCATAAATGAGCACGCAAAACGATGGTTGTGGGATTCTAAGGATCAAAAGTCCTTCCCACATTGGGCTCTTAAATGATATTAACTCTCTTTATTATGATAATAAGAGTTGGAGAGGTCAGAACAACAAAAAAGTTATGTGCTGGCTTCAGTCACACGCATGCACGCGCTCGCCCGCCCGCCGGCTAGGCTCGGGGATGGGCAAGTGCATGGGCCTGGGACTAGGACTTGGGACTTGGGACTTGGTTCTTGAGACTTGGGCCATGAGACTTGGTTCTTGAGACTTGGGCCTTGGTTCTTGGTACTTCGTAATGGGACTGTGGGGTAGACTTGGGCGTTCTTGGATGGTCTGGGCCAATATTAGGCTTGGGCGTAGGACCCAACCACTATATATCTTTTTGATGCAAATGTACTCACAGTTGTGGCCTAAATTGAAATCCAATTCACGTTGGATTTGGACTCAGGTTTTTGACCCAACCTGAGTGAGACCTCTCCAGGTACATTGAACTTGGATGTTTGAATCAACCTAACTATTTCAGGTGGTGTGTTAACACCTGAAAAAGGGACTGGTCGTTTCTGCCAATTAAAACAACCTTAAGTGGGTTGTTGCTTGCCTTAAGTGCAAATGACGATTGTCTTTCCCCTTCTGAATTGGAAGTCCTATAAATAGGATATATATAGAGCTCCAGAACACACAACATATTATATGCATTCTTGCAGTCTTTCATAGCCTCAGGCATATACATACTGCTCAGTTCTCGATTCCGATCAAGTTCGTCGGAGCTTAGAAATCTGTTGTGCTACAACCCTCAAGATGTCAACCGTTGTATCTTTGGGGACAAGACGCCTGCACCCGCCAACACATTAGGAGACATATTCGTATTGCGGTAAGAACAACCTCGCCTCGGCTTGTCCTTCCGCTTTCAGTTATATTTCTTTTTTATGTTTTATAGTTCAAATCATACGAACTGAAAACATAATTTATAGATTTCTTGTTATAATAGTAACACATATTTTGTAACAAAATATTAATGATTTTCCTCATTATTATGTAGTTATAATGATAAACCTATTTTGAACATTTCTCCCAATACAAAACACCACATGCATCTTAATATGGAAAATTAATTGGCCAAATTTTATGATAGGTCATGTAACTAACCATTTGTGTAGGTAGCCCAAATTAATGGTCTATTTGTAAAATAATCCCAAATTTATATTACGAACACCACATACATATTACTAATTACATTCCATATTTTGTGTTAGTAGCCCAAATTAGTGGGCTATTTGTAAAATATTCCCAGTTATATAACGTAAACACCACATACATATTAAAGTAGTTATATTCAACTTAGTCGTAAAAAGAATAACAATCTTTTAAAAGTCGATTTCATGAATATGATGTTTATAAACTTGGTCGTAGACATAAGATCCTATTATAACGGCCTTCTATTTTCATAAAAATCTACTTATATATAAGGTATTCTATTTACTAAAAGGAAAAATTCTTTTGCAAGGCTTGACTTTTAGTTATTGTGTCACAATAAGTCCTGAATTTTCAACTTTTATATTTGAGGGTTTCAATTTTAAGTTATTTTTAATTAAAGGCTTCTTTCACATTCTAGTTCTCAATTTAATAGCTTTAGGAAAATACTACGGTCCCGTTGCGGAATCATTTCGTGGGGTTTGTAAACGTTAGATCATCATGTACCGTCGAGAATAGTTGATCTAACGGTTGTAAACTCTAACGGAATGATTCCGTAATGGGACCGTAACATCTCCCCTAATTTTATATTTTTACATAAATATATAAACTAAATTACTATTATTTTAAAATTTATATTTTAAATAATAATAAATATCTTTAATAAAATTACTTTAATTTATTTTTTCTAGATAATTTATGTTTTCATGTTATTCTCATATTTATATTGAAATTAAGTTCAAATTATTTTTTTTTTGAAATTTTAAAATAAATTTCATTAAAGATATGATAAATATAAATTATGAAATAATTATCTTATTAAATAATTTTATTAAGATATTTAATATTTTTTATTATAAGTGCTTAAAATATTTTATTTTTTTAAAAAAAAAAACAATGTAGTTTACATAATTATGTCAAAATACAAAGTGATTAAGAGCCTTAAATTGAAAAAGTAGAATGTAAAAGTAGACCTTATATTGTGAATAAGTTAAAAGTAAAACCTTCAATTGAAAAAGTTAAAAATGTAGACCCTATTATGAAACAATACACAAAAATCAGGTCCTACAATGGAATTTCCCCTTACTAAATTTAGTAGGTTGAAAAGTCAACGTAATTAACGCATTGCTATTTCTATCCAGAATTTTATTTAATTATTTTATTTATTTGTCTTATATCCCATAAAATCGGTTTAAGAAAAAAAAAATCTCATAACATCCGATAAGTAAAAAAAAGTACGTAAAATCTTTACTAAAATAAAAAAAGCTTTATTTATTTCTCTTATCCATAATAACATCGATTTAGTCGAAACAAATCCCCTAAAATCGGTGAAGTCAAAAATTGTACGTAAAGGCTATCTATACTAAAAAAAAGGCAGATTCAAAATTTCTTATCTAATTCCTGTTTAAAGCACTTTATTTAATATTTATTTTAATGAAATATTGGATATGATTGCTGGATCTGAGTCAATTTTGAAATCGCGTTGTTTGAAATGAGAGGATTATCCGCATTCTATATTTGTCTAAAGCATATTATTTAATATTATTTAATTAATTTATTTAATATTTAATTATTTTATCCATTACATTAGTTTTGTCAAAAAATTGAACAAACAAACAAAAAAGGCACGAGATTAATTACCTTCGACTTACAAAAAATATATTGGTGGACGTTAATATTTAACAATGTTGTTCAAGTTCCTTAAATAATACTATAATTATGCTGTTGAAATATAATTTGTTTTATGGGTGACGTAAATATGCTGTTTAAAGTTCCCTAAAACAATTTTTTAAAAACTACGCTGTTTAAAGTTCCTTAAATATTAATATATTTAAAGTATACCCATGCTGTAATATATTAAAGTCAAAACAATGTTGGAAGGCTTTTGAATTATCTAATTTTGAATTATCTAAATTAATTAATTTAAATATTTAATCCCAATAAATATTCAATCCATAGAGTATTTTTACTAATCTCGTGAGCATGTTGTTTTGCTATTGTAATCAATTTATACACTATTATACTAATAAATTATTTAATATCTATGTACAATGAGGTCCTTAAAAATATATGATTATTTTTTTGTCGAATACTATTTTATTGTATAATTTTCCTGCGTATTATAAAACTTTTATTCAATATTGCATCTTATAATATAATATTTCCCAAATAAATATACCTCGTGTCTCGCACAGGTCCCGTACAATATATTCCGTATAATTTTTTTATTTATTTATATAATTATAAGATTGAATAAATAACCTTAAAATTGCACCTCTTGCATCGCACGGACTCTGTACTAGTTACTATTAACACCCAACCCAAACCAACATTTTATTGAGATAGATAGATGGAAAATGAAAATGGGTAGTATATACTTATGCGAGGTGAGAAAATTCATGAATTTGAGAACGAGTCCTTTGTTTTCAAGTCCAAAGGCGAAGCCCCCTTTGCTCTGAATCATATTATCATCATCGTATACAGATACAATACACCACATTGCCTCCTTTTGTCACTTGGATTTGAGAAGTGTTGAATTCCTTCCTGTTACACCTTCCAGCCATTTCTATCGCTCATCTCAGGTGACTCTCTCTCTCTCTCTCTCTCTCTCTCTCTCTCTCTCTCTCTCTCTCTCTCTCTCTCTCTCTCTCTCTCTTCCCCCTTCTCTATCAAGTTTGTGTCCTTGATGTTGTTTCGAGTACTTAAGTAGACCAATTCGATGCATTTGAGTGGAACGAACAGCTTCTTTGTTCCGAATCTGCGGACAGTTTGTTTATATTCACAAACAATAAGAGCAGTAAGAAAGCCTTTCGATTTTGAAGACCCCATTTCCATTTCACAAGCTAAAGTTTAGATCTTTGGTTTCTGTGGTGCTTACATTAAATTAAATTACAGACGCGTGCATCTGGGGACTGGCTAATTCCCCTAGCAACTTGCAACCTTCACTAACTTATGCTTTCTTTGTTTTGCTGTAATTTGACCTACTCAGGACTAAACCTAACAATGGATAATGGAGGGAACTCTTTACCGTCAGGTCCTGATGGAGTGAAGCGCAAAGTTAGTTATTTTTATGATCCTGAGGTGGGTAATTACTATTACGGGCAAGGTCACCCCATGAAGCCACACAGGATTCGCATGACACACGCCCTTCTCGCTCACTATGGGCTGCTGCAGCATATGCATGTTCTTAAACCCAATCCTGCTCGGGACAAAGACTTGTGTAGATTTCATGCTGATGATTATGTTTCTTTCTTGAGGAGCATCACCCCTGAAACGCAGCAGGAGCAGCTCAGGCAGCTAAAGAGGTTTAATGTTGGTGAAGACTGCCCTGTGTTTGACGGCCTCTACTCCTTTTGTCAAACTTACGCTGGTGGTTCTGTTGGTGGGGCCGTCAAGTTGAACCATGGACATTGTGACATAGCTGTCAATTGGGCTGGGGGATTACACCATGCAAAGAAGTGTGAGGCTTCTGGTTTTTGCTATGTCAATGATATAGTGCTGGCTATCTTGGAACTTCTTAAAGTGCATGAGGTTGGTTCTTCCTCTACACTTAACACTCCACAAACCCCTTGCTTTTCAGAATAACATTCACCTTATTTGGATTGCGTTGTGGTTAGCTATGTACTTGGCAAGCTTTTACCATTTCCTGCCTTTATTAGTAATCATGAAATTTATCCTTGAAAAGGGCTTCCTCAATGTAAATGTAGGATTATATCTAGGAGTAGAATCCTTGTTTTCTCGAATCCTTTTAGGTATATTTTTCATGAGCAAAAGACTTCTAATATAGATGTGCTTAGCTTTTAATTACCATCTTCCTTTGAGTGACTAATGCATGTGACAGGAATATTTTCTCTTCAAATGTATCAAGTATTTCAATTGGTAGCTTTTGGTGGAAATATGGATGCTTATCAAATGCGGGATATTTTTATTTACAGCTTACTATTTTGTAGCATGTTGAATCAGAGCAAGTGATTACTACTCTAGTGTCTATACTGATTTTCATTTTCTTTCATTTTTCTTTGTGTCGAGTTTTTTTATTTTCTATTGTCTTCTTGCAGCGTGTTTTGTATGTCGACATTGACATTCATCATGGTGATGGTGTTGAAGAAGCATTCTACACTACAGACAGAGTCATGACTGTTTCTTTCCATAAATTTGGAGATTATTTTCCTGGTACGGGTGATGTACGTGACATTGGATATGGGAAAGGGAAATATTACTCTCTTAACGTTCCCTTGGATGATGGAATTGATGATGAAAGCTATCAGTCCTTGTTTAAGCCAATAATGGGCAAGGTGATGGAAGTTTTTCGTCCTGGTGCTGTTGTATTACAATGTGGTGCAGATTCTCTGTCTGGGGATCGATTAGGTTGCTTTAATCTCTCAATTAAAGGTCATGCAGAGTGCGTCAAGTTCATGAGATCTTTTAATGTGCCACTACTTTTGTTGGGTGGAGGTGGTTATACGATACGTAATGTTGCTCGTTGTTGGTGTTATGAGGTAAACCAGTTAAATAATCACATATCAAGTTAGTCAGTGAGTTTCATTATCATCTGATTTTTTTGAAACATTTTATTTGCCAATTTGGAAAGCAACATGCAAACGTTGACATTCATTGGACAGAACTAATACATGACACATATGTATTTGGAAATAATTCTGGAGCAGGCAATGCGATTAATGAGATGATAAAATATTGTATAGTGCATCCGACTATATGAATGATAAAATATAAAATCTTGAATCCTCTGATTGGACAGAAAGTTACTTTATTTATGGTGGGCACATATGATATGCCAAATAATCAGAACCTCATGTTTCTTACGGGACTCTAACTTAAGCAGCAACATGCCCGTGTTTCTAAATTAAATACAGATATCACTGCCATGTAAACTTTCTTCTTGATAAGTGAGATGAGCTTGTACTCATAGATGCTGCTTATTTGTTCCTTCTAATGATTTAGAGTTGTAGATTGGATTGTTGTCAGTCTTTAACTTGGGATAAAATACTTTGCTTATAGTATGGATTCAATGCTGTTTAACTATGGTAGTATCAGCTGTTGTCTTCCGCTAGTGCTAAAGAGAAAAGTACCTTGCAAATAGTAAGGATTTTATGCTTTTTAACTATGACATTGTCAACTAGTGTCTTGTGCTATTTCTATAGCTAGACATCTTGGCTTCATCATCGACTGGCTGGTTTGCTCTTTTATAGATTGTTGAACGTAAAGGTATCTTGACCATTTGGTTTAAGTAAATCTTGGAATCACTCTTGCCTCCAGGGTTGGGGACAGTGTGTTGGACCGGTCTAATGAGAAGGGTTACTAAGTTTTAAGCTATTTGCATAATATATTTAACAATCTGTTGGATGATTTTAATTAGTTGATAAATTATTGTTTTATTGTGTGTTGTATTTTCGTTCTTTAATTCGAAGAGGTCTACATTTTCTGAAATTCCTCATTAAAATTGTCAGGCCTGGACTAAGGCTCCTTCAGGTCCGGTTCCCACATATTTTACATTGCCTCTAGACAATCAGTGACCTTGAAACATCATCCTTTATTTATTCAGAAGAGCCAGTATGAATATTTTTTTCTTATCCATGAAAACTTTTGGCATTTTTAATTTCCCTAGTCAGGGCAAGTCCTGTTTTCTTTTCTTTTTATAGCGACTTCTGAATGCTACCCCTTTCATTTGATGAGTGGCATAGTACTACTTCCCTTAAGTTTTTGGACTTTGTCATCTCAAAAAGTTGTGGACTAATTTTTGGTTTGCAAATGTGACACATGAATCGACTATTATTGGTAACAGTTTGCATAATGCAC